AGCACGGCCGGAGCCAATTGGACAGAGGCCGGTGCAGCAGTCGTTGCACAGTCGCGGACTATGGAACTAACCCAGAAGGAGCCGCTGCGGAGCCGCGCCGAGATAGAACCCACCATGAAGCCGCAGGAAGAAGAAAGAACAAGCCGGCAGGGTGCCTGGTAGGCACTCACCTCCCCCATATACACATTGTGGCCCTAGCTAGGAAGTTTAATATGCCTATGTAAACCGCTCAGAGCCTCCGGGATTGAGCGGTATAGAAATTGAATAAATAAATAAATAAAATAAATAAACAGCCCCTTCCTCTTTTATTTGCTCCCCAGCAACCAATATTCCAAGGTACACTGCCCCTGAATGTGGAGGCTCCAATTAAAGCAAACCACAAGGTGTTAATGTTCCAGCATTATGTTTCCCACAGCAGACAGCCGACACTTCTGGAAAGCCATCAAGAAATGTCAGAATGGGCTTGTCTCTTCCCTGACCCCAGAATTGGGCTTTCAGAGGCTACGACTCTGCTTTCAAACTCTCTTCAACTAAACTTCTCTTTCACAACTTCTTCTTCGTTGGGGGGGGGGGGGGGAGCTTCTACATTTGACCCACCTCCATGCTCACTCAAGCCCAAAACAAGGATGAGGTAGGAGAGGCATGATTGATTTGTATTTTTCAAAAAAAATCTGTAGGGCAACTGTGTGTGAGGGGGGTGCATGTCTTCCACTCTTGATCAAAGGACTGCGCGCGTGTTTAATTTCACCCCCATTTCATGTTCCTGATCTGCCAAAGCTGCTAAAAGCCACAGAAGGGAGATAGCACGAGTATCTATATTGTTAATTGGGGATAACAAAATCTTACATGGGGGGATTTAGATCAGGAAAATACTCCAGGAGGATAGGGAGGGATAGCGGTCAACAGCAGGGAGTGGGGAGGTAGAGTTGCCAGCTCCAGGCTGGGAAACTCCTGGAGATTTGGGAGTGGAGCCTGAGGCGATAAGGGCCTCAGTGTGTGCCACAGAGTCCACCCTCCAAAGCAGCCATTTTCTCCAGCGGAACTGAGTTCTGTCATTTGTCGGGAGATCCCCAGGTGCCACCTGGGGGATGGTATCCCTACAGGAGGGAAAGGTTAAATTCCCCTCCCACAACACCACCGCTCTGATCTGGCACCCTTCACGGCGGCTTTCAAGCACAACTTTTCAAAGGGAGTTCCGGGTCCTCACAAGCCAAAGTAGTATTGGATTAAAATTAAAAAAAAAAATACTGTGTTCTTGTCAGGATGAAGGCCAAACACACCGAGTCTTGGCGGCAACCCAACCCAAACCCACGTTGGCTCTCGGCTCTCCTCTGAGGAGGCCCCTCGTCAAGGATGTGAATGGCTGAGCATATTGTCTGGAGAAGGGAAGACAGAATAAAGCCGGGGGGGGGGGGGGGAGAGTGGGGGTGGCGAAGCACGCCCCAGAGCTGAGACAGAAAGCGCCTTGTAGTAACCCGGCAAAACTAGGTTAGGCCAGGCCGGACTTCACAGGCCACCATGTACCATTGGCCGAGAAACGAGGCCGCACAGAGTTTTAAAGCGCTTGGCATTGTTCTGGGCTGGACTGCCGCCACGAGAAAGGGAAATGAAAGGGCCGCTCTTTCTCTGGGCTGACTGAGATTATTGGTTCAAAGCTTTTGTTTGGGGGGCACTTTAAAGTTTTCTTTCTGTAGGGGGCTGGGGGTGCATTTCTACAAGACGGGATTCAAAAGGGTACAGCGGAGCAGCTGGTATATGGCAGCAGTTAAAAGCCAGAACTGAGACGTTGCCAATTCAAACCTGACCGCCGCCTGGGATTCCCTCCCCCCACCCCACCCTGGCGGAAACTGGCTCTGTTCCAGGGCCTCTGACAGCAGTTTGACATGTGAGGAAAAGTTTCACCCGCTTAATTCCCTCTGGTCAGGCTGTGTAGGACCAGAGATGCTTAAAAACAGTTGTGAGAACTTTGCCACTGTTGTGAGCTCACCTCAGACAGGCCTCACTGTGCCCCAGTCCTCCTCCTGGGACTGGGGGATAATAGCGTCCTACCTCACAGGGGTGTTGGAAGGGTCATTGCATATAAAGCCCTTGGTGCCCAATATATCTTAAGTACTGGTACTAATTAGATCAGTCGCACGTCAAGGGTGGAAGGACAGCTCTGCTTCT